GACTCACTGGGTCACGTCAGATGTAAAGATGGAGGCAGTGACTGTTCAGAAACAGTAAGTGATGCGAGGAGAAAACGTTTTTTTCTTTTCTTTTAAAAAGGCAGTTAAGTAAGCACCTCGCCTCGAAAGACTGACACCGGGGAAAACAGGGATGAAGGTTAAATCTCAAGATCTGTATTTATCAGGTATCTGAGTGGAGGTGAGCTCACAGAAAATCTGATTTACCTCGTAGAGTGTGTGAGAGGTATCCGGAGAGAAGGAATGAAATCTACAGGAGGCTTCGTTCTCTCTGCATCGAGATTTCCAGATAAATATTTGACCACAAAACGACGCTTTTAACTACATTTTAAATTCTAATGACATGATTGCATAAACTTTACTTTCTGGGCAGAAAATAGGATCATCCAGAGCACCAGCGTGGCTCATGTTTACTCCGCAATATGAACGACGTCCCTGCGGAGTGAGACGACGGCAATTTGACCTTTAATCCAGGACGCTGTTTCACAAAGGTTATGTGCAAACACTGTGACCACGGCTTCTGTAGCTTGTGTGAGCGCCATGTTTAAGAGGTGATGTGTGGATAAATCTTCTCCTATGCTCAGTGTTTCTGTGTTTGAGTCATTTATCGAAACGTGTGAAATGAACTTGAGAAATTATGGCTTGTCTTTTGCAAATTAGGCGAACAGAGACCCTGGATCTCTGGTCCAGTCAGATGATCAAGTCTTTCACTTTGAGGGTTTGTCTTGCAGGGGAAAAGGATGCTGAGTGAAACACACTAAAGTGTGTTAAGCACAAAACACATATGGAGAAGGTGGAAAACGATGAGTGACGGGGTAGAAAAGATTCTCTCAGGGTGCAAGACAGGAAGAGTGTGTTGCTAATTAGTGAGAGGTCAAGCTCGTCACCTCCTGGAATTCTGCAGCAGGGACGTACGGCTGCAGGAAGACAGAGAAACTCCAGGATATGACCAACAACAGCTAATGATCCCACCCCCTCCCTTTCTCTCCCATGCACATGCACATGTACACACAGACTCTCATTTCCTGCAGACTTACTTCGCTCTACTTGACCAACCTTAACCATAACCCTTAAAACATGTCTTCACCTTAAAAATGAATGATTTACGTTACGGAGTGTGGCCTTTAGTCTCAACAATTTGACTGTGTAAAAATTGAAGTCCTCACAACATGAGTTATGCCTCCACCACACACACGCACACACACACACATGCACACTCTTTCTCTCTTGGCTCAGCTGGCTTCTGGTTTGTGCTGACACACGGGCTGACTGGGAGCGCTGCGTTTCTGCTAAAGCCTCCTTAAAATTGCAGGCATGCCTCTTGTGCACTTGCACAAAGGTATTGGTATTCTGCACAGGAGCAGGATGCCATTGTGCTATTAAGAAGAAGCCATTTTTGTTTGTTCAGTCTGGTTATCTCTCAGATCTCCGTGAAATATTAGTACCGTGCACCCAAAGCAAACACTTAGAGAAGCACTTAGAGCTGATAGTCTTTGTTGTGCGTTTTTTCTATAATCTCATGACTATTTGTAATCCTATTTCCCGTGATGCCATTACGGCTGAATCTCAGGCCATTTGTGGGACGCTCTGCTCTCCGATGTGCAACCCCTGCATTACGACTCCTATTAAGTTCCAAAAATGTCTTCTGCACTCTATAAAACAGCAGCCGTAAAGTCTGGAGAACTTGGGTTATTATCGCCATATTCATAAACCTCGTTGAAAGTTGAACTGTTAACACGCACACAAACAAATACACACACTAGCTTAAAACTGGTTAAGTTATCGTGTAGCAGCTCTGTCGTTAAATCAGGACACTTAACGATGATTACCAAACAATGAGTTCATGCATCGATGAGCAGTGTGGGCACGTCCAGGGAGTTCTACACCCCGACATTTGTCAGCTGCTGGCTGCTAAACACTGTAATGTGGCAGAGACGTATTCATCGGGAGATAAGAGCAAATCATAGCCTGGAGGCGAGTGAAAGCAGATGTTGAGCACCAGATCAGATTAAATGAAAAGGGCAGGTGTTGATTTGATTGGACAATAAATGGCTGAACGATCACTGAGAGACCGTTTGGCTTTTGACCTCCGCCGGCAGGTGGAAGATGTGAATGTGCAGCAGGTAGTTTGAGTGTTGCTGAGGAAAAGAAACCATGTCCCTGTTTGTTTTGTGTGTGGTCATGTGGAGATGTGGCCTAAATGATCGGCAGATACAAGCCCGACGCAGCTTCCTCTTTAGCACCATGGAGCAGCTTCGATGTTGTGTAGCATCTTGTTAGCACGTTCAATCAAGCTCTCCTGTGTGCTTTGCTGTTTTTAAACCATCACGTTGATCATTTGGAATCATTTGGAAGCTTTGGTAAAAAGGCACTCGATGTACAATTTGATTGTTACGAACAAGCGTCGCCACACGTCTTTGCCTGATGTGCATCTTGTCAAACAACTCAGCGCTGGACTTAGATCTGAAGGAGTCGCATTAACGGCAAGAGCTCAATTACAATCGTCACCAAACAAAAAGCTCCTTCTCTGTTTGGAAGAAAAGGGTCTTTTGAGGGACACCAGAGTGGATCCTATTGCCCCGCAGGGAGACAAATTGGGCTCCGTCAAGCCTCATTGCCAGAGTGACTGAAATTGGTTTGTGGTTCTGCTTCTGCACCATCCAATAAAGAGAAGAAACCTCAGAGAGAGAGAGCGAGAGAGCAAGGGAATGACAGCGAGGGAAAATAAGAGCAAAGGAGCCCGGCCTGGCCATGGCACATTAATGGTGCCAGTGAGGCAGGGAGAAAACTGGGTCTTTTTAGTGCCGGAGCGGCTACAGTCGGGGCAGTGCCCGACACACACTGTTCCTGACACACACACGCTGCTGTAATCGTGCCAGAAATGGCTGCTGTCCCACAGGCAATTTCTTCAGGGTCAATCCTCGGATGAAGCCGGCGACAATCTCGCACAGCTCCGGGATAGAAGGACCAGATGAGATGGGTCGGGGGTTGTTTGTGCAACAAATTGGGACAACCAGAGGTGTAACTGACACTCAGAGGTGAGGGGGGGGGCTGCCATCAACATGTTGTTATGGCTGGTGAGGAGCCTCCTTAGTTCCCACAGGTGTGCCGACCCTTAAACAAACTTCTTCGCAGCCTTGTTAGTGTCACAGAGCGAAGGCAAAGCAACCTGGTTTTTAGATGAAACCTGCTGGAGTCTCTGCTGGTTTTCTATCAACGTCACAAAGACGACAAGATGACGTCGCTGGCCAAGAAATATCCAAACACCAAATAGAGTCGTTTGACAATGGGTTAGGTTTGAACTAAACAAACCAGGTACTATGTCTTGATCAGATTTGGGTGTTTCCTCCTTGTTTCCAGCAGCTCCTCCAACAATTCCCTCTAAAGCAGTTGTTTTAATGCCATAAACATGTAGATGCCATAAAGTTTATGCAATCGTTGCTGAATCCTGTGTTTGTGATTAACAATTTAACCTGGAGCGAAACATGCAGCAAACACCACTCATCTGGAAATCTGAGCAGATAAATAAGTGAAAAACACGACCTGGGTTTGGTGATGACTGCAGAGATTGAAATGAGGTCAAACAGCAGCAGGGAGATTCCCAGTTCAACACTGACGCTCAGTATGTTGAGTTAGTTACGGTTGAGTCAAAGAGATAAAGAGAGACTGAGGACAGACGTCACTGAGAGGACAAAGCCGGAAGCGATGCACTGACGACCACGTGGAGTGTAGCGAGCGACATTCTACAAAAAATGTTTCCTAAGGTTTTCCCTGCAGGATCTGAGAGAAGGTGTGTGTGTGTGTGTGTGTGTGTGTGTGTGTGGGATAGAGAGAGAGAAGCGGAATGCACCCACAGTGTGTGAAAGCATCGTAAAAGTGACGAGACATAAAGAAATATAAAGACGAGAAGAGGAGTTGGAGGAAAAGGATGTTTGGTAGGGCTGCCAACGGTTGTATCACACATTTAAATACTGTCTGATGGGTGTGTATGAGTTTGTAAGTGTGTGCACGTGTGTACATACTGTATATGTGTGTGTGTGTGTGTGTGTGTGTGGCGGTAGCTTGGACAACCGTGGAACATTAGCTTAAACCCGGTGAGAAGATGTAAAGAAGAAGGATAGTAAGGACTGGTCCGGCCATCAAGGTCAAATAAAAAAAAAAACCCAACGACAACAGCAACAACAACAACAACAATATCAACATTAACATCAGCAACAACATCAACATCAACAACAACAAAATCCAACTGAAAACAAAAAGGAAAAAACAAACAAACAAACCAAAAAAAACTCTGGTTCAGAGTGTCTCTTCATCTTTGGTATAAAAATGGCCATCCATGGGCTGCATTTGATCCACAACTAGGAAAGACTACAGAAATTGTCAACAATTTCTTCTATTGCTTTTGCACTGATTGGTTTAAACCGTTTAAGCTCCTACTGAATCTACTGTTTTCATTTCACTGCCAGAAATTTTTTTTTGTAGTTTTTTCATTTTTATTGTTTTTTTTTTTTAGTTTTCTTCCTCTTCTTCTTTTTTTCTTTTCTTTTCGCAGTGTGACAAGCAAAGCGGGCTAAAAACATCTTTAAAGCTCATAAAAAAGGTAAAATGTGGCAGATAAAAAGCACTAATGTCGTCGACAGCAACTTTTGCCATGTAAAATAATAATTATGATAATAAAAACAAGTTCAGCATTTTGCAACAGACTGCATCCACAGTGCAGCGTGTTTTCTTATGTTTTCATTTTTTCCTCGTGTGTGAAAAATCTCTTCAGAGCTTCATCTCCCCCCTCGAGTCTTTATCCCCCAAACAGACACTTTGTTTTTCTTCTGACACTTAGTTACCTCTGACATAATAATTATCAAAGTTTTCTTCTAATGAAGAAAAGAAAAAAGCTCTTCTCTATTAAATCTGTACAGCTTATGTGATAGATTCTTTTTTTTCCTCTTAACAGCAACATCGCCCAGTGTCTTGTTCCCTCCAGATGGTGCAAGACACTGATTCCGTTTGCTTTTTTTTTTTTTTGTTGTTTTTTGAAATCTTTTCCCTAACCAGACGTCAGAGTTAAACTCTGTAAAAAGTTTCTGGCGCCCTTCAAATTAAGGCCATGAAGATTCAAGAAAGAAAAAACACTTTGTTTTCAAATATATCTAGAAAACTAAAATTTAACACTAGAACATAAAAAAGAGTGAAAAGAAACTGTAGCTTAATATCTGAGGAAGACAATCTCTGTGTGTATCTCAAACTTGACTCCCCTTTTCCAATTACAAAATAAACTTCATCACCTACCTGCGCATTCAACCTTTTTTTTTTCTTTTTTTTTTATTGGTAGTAGAGAATTTTCTTTGAGAAACTTTTCAAGCTTCAGCCCAGCCCCTCAGGCAGGTTCCCAGACTAAACAATTTCACTTCTTTGCACTGTGCCCCGCAATTTTTTTTTTCCATCCCCTCGCTCAGCACTTCGCCTCCTTCTCATGTTTTTTTTTTTTTTTTTTTTTTTTTTTTTTTTTTTTTTTTTTTTTTTTTTTTTTCTCGTAGGCCAGGTAGGAAATGAAAAAATTGTCTCTTTTTTGGTGCCTGGGCAATCTGGAAGCAATCTCTTTCTATTCTCTTTTCCTCACATTCACAGTGCAGCCACCTTCTGTCTCAAGGCAACGCTGTCACAGGAACATTCGCTCAGGCCGTTGCTATCTGATGAAAGAGGAGAAAACAGACACGGAGAGAGAGACAGAGAGAGAGGGTGAGTGGCTGTAATCAAAGCACAATATTACAAACACACGGGAGTGAGAGAGCTGACAGCGCAGGAAGAGAAGTGAAGCAGAACGAAACATGTTTAACTGTTGTGCAGTGGGTCAGAAAAGCTGCCAGCATGATGAGTAAATGACGACAGCTGCCAGGACGCATTAACGTCATTTTACAACAGCAACATTCATTTTGAGATCAGCATTAAGCGCTAAGATACTTAAACAAAAACATTTGTCCAAGAGAAATTCAGTTCATCATGATTTTCGCTGCCTTTGAAAGTTGAAAAACAACTTTTTATTATGTGTGATAATATGAGTTCAGCAAATAATTCACAGGCAGGAAACTGGATTTACTTAGAGAATGAAAAGGTCACTTGTAATTGGAAAAATACCCCAAATGCTGAGGTTCTTAAAGTGGGTGACACTTGTCATATCATGTCATCCTCTCCTCCGTGTGCTTACAATTTAAAAGTATTAATAGCGAGAGCGTGGCGTGTCTCAAAGGTTGAACTTACTTGGACTGGTATGAGTAAGCAGGAACATGGTCGGCAGCACTGTCCACCTGGATCTGTTGCTGCTGGCCTGCCACCTCCTGTGATGAGGGAGCCACAGTCTGGGGGGAGGCGTCCGTCACCACTCCCTGAGGATACACACACACACACACACACACACACACACACACACACACACACACACACACACACACACACACACAGATTTTGTTTAACACAACTAAAGAAAACAGACTAGAAACAATCTGTCTCAACAAAAATAACAATAACACCCAGAGGATATTGAAAATTATACAAATCATATTGTGTACTCTCAATTTGATTGATATGGAAATATATGTAATATGGAGATTCATATTGTACATTATACCTGCTTAAATATATATTTATGTATACTCTTATGTATTTATTTACTTCAGTATCTCCTTATGCATATGCACAAATCCATTTTAATTTAATTTTCTGTTTTATTGGCTATTTTAATTTTAATTTATACTTTCACGTGTCTATCTCGTTTTTTGACTTTCTGCTGCCGTAATGGGTGAATTTCCCCAGTTTTGAAAAAAGTTGATCTTATCTTCTCCGTGTTGAGACGTCTTTAAGAATGGCTCTGTGCGCTGCATTCATCACAACAGCCTCTCAGCCCTCTTATGTGTGGAGCATTACCAATAGCCGCCATCATCGAGTCATCTCAATCACTTTTAACAAGCTCTCAAGGATACTCCGCCCTGTCCATACATCAGCCCTCCAGACACGGGCTGATCCAGTGATGTACGCCCCGCTGCTGACGCTGGCATTGAGAGCATGACAGCGAGGATGAAGTAGGTAAGAGCCGCCGTGGGCTACACTACAACTACATCTCTCTCCTCTGTCCGACTCCTTCACGAAGGAAGACTGCAACTTTCTGCGGAGGTGGTGGAGCGGGGGGAGTCTGAGTGGAGGGGGAGGAGCGACTAATGGCTCTGTCAGGGGAAACTGTCATTGTGCCTGGCTGGTGGGCGAACCAGAGCTGCATGGCTGACGGATGCGTGTGTTCCAGCTACCTACCAGCTCCAACCGGCTGTGGTGGGGGGGGCAGAGAGAGAGAGGGAGAGAGAGAGAGAGCACCTCGGGCACTGTGTCTCACTTCAGCTCCTGTCATCTGATACACGACTGATAGTCCATCTGAATACGACTGCACTGTCAGCCACCAGACAGCCGGCCGCTCTGCTCGCCGGCTCGCCCGCCTGCCTGCTTTCCACGTTCATCATTTCTCAGGCTGCACTGCCCGAACCTGCCAGGAGCTCAGACAGCCGCCGAAACAAGTGACAAACTCTGCACCACACTTCAAATGTCTTTCTCGAATACTGTAAAACTTCTGACTCATCCGGCCTCGCTCGCAGTTTTTCGTTATTTGCTGCTGGTGCCGGGGGCCATTTTATTTTGGTAGTGTAAGAGCAATTTACAGCACACTTCAAATGTCATCCGTCTCTTTAATGACTGTTTCAGTCTATTGTGCTGAGCAGCGTTTAGAAACGGTAGAGTGAGTGCTTGTCTTTGTAAGTAAGTGGGCTGTCAGCTGTAATGATGTCCTCCTTTGGGTAAATGTCAACAGATTTCTGATTATCGTTAATCACTGCGTGCATGCATGTGCGTCTTACTTCGACAGGGACGGCTGTTGGAGGCACAGGAGTGTACTGGGGAATGTAGGTCCCTTGCATAGGCGCCGCGGCAGCTGCAGCAGTCATGTACTGAAACACAAAAAAAAAAACAACACACACACACATCATAAGCCTTGCATATAAAACTCCTGCTGCTAACATGAAAACACCAAATGCGTATCCAAGAAACACTTTACAGGTATCAGACACTGATATTGCGATTCCCTGCAAGTTTCAAAAAGAAGAGCATGCTGTGCCCTCAGCATCCTTTGGAGGGCGCTAAGAGAATATGCTCAACGGAGCAGAGTAGAGGAGAGTATGTGAGGTAGATGGAGGAGATGGAGGAAGAGGAGTCCTGCTGTTCCACCAAGACTTCACAGGCAGGCAAATACACCAGGCCACGGCTGAGGAGAAGATAAAAAAAAAACAACAGAACTCTGAAGGGAAAGAAGGAGAGAGAAAGAGAGAGGGAGAAAGGAGGAAGCAGGAGGTCTGTTGCCTGTGGCCTATATTCCTTTAGTCATGCCTGCTCTGGCTTTTAACTGGGTGCTCGCTCGCTCCATGAAGGCCATTTTACAGATGTGACACAGGTTTGGTTACATGACAGCCACAGGGCTTTCACATGCAATATGAATGAGGACACGGCACTTTGTGTGAGGCTTTTTCTTGGACTCGCTGTGAGTGCACGGGGTGTGTGTGTGCATGTGTGTGTGTGTGTGCGTGTGGTGAACAAGCCTGATTTGCCAGTGTGCGAGTGTGCTTCTTTTTTAATTAACACATGTCGGCGCATAAAAAATGACTTATCACTATTTAGCTGCCCAACTGTGCATGTTGGGCGGTGAGATGGGAACCTACGTGCATGTGTGGTGTGTGTGTGTGTGTGTGTGTGTGTGCGTGCGTGCGTGCGAACAAGACAGACAAAGACAAAGAGGCTTGGACTGATAATGCTGCAGTACGGCTCTAACGGATGTGATCCCAGATAAAAGCCACCAGGCTGCGTCCCCGCCTCTCTTCGTCTTCCTGCTGCTTTTCCGGACCGAGGAAAAAAAGGAAGTACAATCCCCTATTTTCTGTCTTATTTTTTCCTCTGCCTCTCAGTCTCTCTGCCAATGCTAAAAAGCGTGGTGGCAATATGCAGTAGGAGGCAGTAATGGAGGGGTTGTGCCGGGCTGCGGAGCCTTTCTTGGCCGTGGGCCCGGCGGTGGTGGTGAAGTGTCATTACCGGCAGCGTTGCTAATGGATCGGGTACGGCTCCACCGCTCACCGCTAATGAGAGCAGCTAAAGGCCATGGACATGGGTGATTAACTCCCCCACCGTCGCCACACATGGCCAGGAGGACGCCCTGGGATGGATGCTCATGTACGTTCGTACGCGGGTGTGACTGTGTGGGTCCGTGCGTGTGGATTTAAGGTTATCACATCTTCGGGGCTGTCACACTCTGGACGGGGTGAGGCGACACATCCAGACTTCCTGACACATTACCACATTACCTCCCCGTGTCATCCCTTTTTCCCTCTCACCTTCCTGTCAGCCCCTCCCCCCTGCTCTCTCCCTCTCAACCTGCTATCGTCTAAAAGGGCCTATCAGATTGTTGAAGTGACCTTCTCCCTGGAGAATCTAAACCCTGCATACCAATTTTCGTCCAGACTTTTTTTTTTTTTTGTCTTTGCCTCCCGTTCCCCATTAACTTATACAGCCGACTCACCTGTAAGGGGCCGCGTGAAAGCAAATGAAGGGAAGAAGGAGATAATTAGCAATATCAAAATCTCCCTGTCAAAGTAGAATGTCGATTTGAAATGTTATATTTCTCCGAGGGGCTGCAGAAGGAATTTAAATTAGATTTAACAAGAAATTTTAATAAGATAAGATTTTTTCTTCTACCATAACCATTAGTTAACCTATTTAATGTGGCAGGTTGAGCAGGGGCATATCTCTGCACTCGCTGCCGTGGAATGTCACAGGGATGTCAAGCCTGGCTTCTGTGAATGGGGTTGCTATGGCGATAAAGATGATTTTTGTCCAATTTCCAATCTTTTAATATTTCCCTGTCCAAAGTCAGGGAGCAGGTTTGTGCAATATAAAGCATCCCTAATTGGCAATAAATGGTGTATCACACACACACACACACACAGCTGTGCCTGAAGCAGATGGCACACGTGTGTGTGTGTGTGTTTGATGAACAGGAGGATTGAACAGTTCCTTAACGAGGCCGGTGTGAGGAGACTCCTTAAGTTTCTTCTCTGCCATCACTCTCAATGACACACACCTATAACTACAGTATAAAGTCAGACCGCAATGCAGCAATGCTCGGATGAAAATCCATAGAATAGCCCGCACCACTCCGGTGCCACGGTGGTTTGGGCTTCTGCACCTCACTGAAGTACGAGACGATTTATGTTTGGTGGCTACGAGGACGGTGGGGCAGTTTGCTTTGTGCACGTCAACATGAATATTAGTTCTTCTCAATGTAGCACAGCACGTTAGCATGCTTAAATGATAAAATAAATCACCGCCCTCTCTGTCTGTCACCCTGTCTCCACATCCATCCATCCCCGCTGTGTTGACTTGCTGTTCTGTCACATCGTCTGCAAGGTGGAGGATAACAGTTGGTCAAGGCGAGAGCATCCAGCCACTCAGCTGAGGTTATTAATGGCAGGGCGGCGTGGGGATGGGCTCTGATGACTATTGATCTCAGCTATGGCGCTCGAACACGATGGGAACTATTGGAGCTGCACACCAGCGGCGGTGAATCACACTGCTGAACCACTTAAACCATAATAAGCCCTCCATATCTCGGCCCCTCGACTTTGTTATCTCCCGGTCTGAGATTAGAGAGATTTACACTGGCAAAATCAGTGTCATCTATTAAATCACCTCTTCACAAACACACTCTCATCCGCAGGGTTAATGTTTATCATTCTACAATTTAATATTAACTATTACTTCTCCTTTTAGCTGTTTTGATCTCCACTTCAAAATGTCTGGCTAAAAAAAACGATGTCTGTTGCCGCTGGAAAGTTACGATGATGTTTGAAACCTTTTACGTTGCACGGAGTCATTATTAGTTACTATAATGCTAAAAGGTAAAGAAACACAAACTAAGCAGTAAACACTTATTATCTGGATCCTGCGTTTCAGGCACAAGAGACTGCTGCATACTAACCGGGGACTTACAAGACAAACTTTAAATTTACTGCATTCATTTTAATATCAAAAGAATAAAACTTATTCAAGAGCAGCCAGTTCTTGCACCAGAGTTCTTGGCTACAGGCCTTTAAACACATTGCGGACACATTGTAAATTAATATATAAAAATGCCACAAAAGGTTTTTCCTCGCTCAACAACTACTTTCAAGGTATTCAGCATCAGCCAGGTGTCAACGTGTGTTACTTCTCGAATGTGAAGCTGCAACGGAAGAGAGCACAAGCCCGTCAACTTCCACGAGCGAGTACAGGTTAAATTTAGCCGTGCACATTTAGGGAAATGCAGAATAACACGCTACAGTTCCACTTCCCCCCCAATAGAAAACCAAGGGAATCCGCCCGGATAATAGAGGCAAGCGCTTCACACAAATCTGTCTTCCAGGGACACAGAAGCTGTCAATCACCGCTGTCACCATGACAACGGAGGCCTGGGTTCTACATGGCATGACAGGAATAGGATGGAGAACACAGAGGGAAGGTCACCTCTTGTCATGTCAAACACTATGTCGCTCACACACTAGCGCACACACTGACATACAGTACGTACATACACAGACTAAAGTGACAAACAGAGCGAGGGAGCATCCAACTCATGCACAACAAGTAACGGGAAAGTGAGAACACAAGGCACGGCAGTCCTGTTAAATGGCGAGAGCTGTAAGATAGTAAATAAATCAGTAACGGAGCAATATGTACCAAACACGGTGAAATAAATCAGCGAGGAGCCTGGATGGCATGTTTATGTGTGGCATCCATAAACAGGGAGCCTGAGGTTCTTTAACATTCAGTAATCAAGTCGTTCAGCACACACAGACTGAGCCGGGTGACGACAGATGAAGCAGCTGAATTCCAAAGCAGTGACCATCAAACTGGCACCAATCCATTCTTCCTCCTCGCCACACCCTCTGTTGCCGATCCGTGCTCGCGACCGACGCAAAATAACACGCACTTTCTCGGAAAGCTACGGTCACCGCACCAGCGTCGCTGCCTGGGCGGACCGGGAACATTTGGTTCCCGGTTGAGAGAGGAAGAAGAAAGCCACAGCCAAACACAAACAGCCGCAGAGTCGTGGAACGGCCAAGAGTATTTCTGAGGTGTGGCTTCTCCTCAGTGGCCACAGGGCTGTTGTGTTAAGTTGTTGACTTTGGAGACGCTGCTCGTGGCAGGTGCAGGAAGCTTCTGCGGCGAAGGTTAAGTCACGTGACCGGCGGGGGCGATCAAAACAACTTCACATGTGCACACTTGAGGAATGTGCTCTAAGAATATGTCAAGTCCAGTTTACTACACAGTTAGTTACAGACGCTGGTTTCTTACCTCTCGTTTCACTTTCTCAACCAGGCTGTATGAACGGGCTTCCACATCTGGCTTTAGAATTAACATCATAGGAAACATGTCTCAATTCCCAAGGATGATCAAGTCTGGCATAACGTGTGTGCAGCAATTGAAAAGTTATGATACACAGCACATTGCCTCGGGAAAGCTAAGCAGGCAGAAAAGGGGGGCGAGGCAGAGAGGAAAAAAATAAGAGAGAGCGTCTTAACCCACTTTCTCCTATAATACAAGCCATCAAACATCAGAAGCCATCATCATGGATTAGCCTGTCTCTAATCCTGGTTGTTAGCACAGCTGGGGCAGATTAGGGAGGGGGCATTCCTGACAGAGCCAACATGGCGTCACAGTCGCTGACAGCTCACCTGGAAACACATGGGTAACTGTACAATACGGCACTGTTTCATTCACGCACGCTCGCACAAACACACAGGGAGAGATCAAACGTAGTGCCGGAGCAAAGCTGCCGGCTTGCTTGCCCCCGGGCAGCGGGGTTAGGGCAGGAAGTCGGGCTTCAGAACTGTGTGACACCTCTAAGTCGACTTGATCCTGAAAGAGGGGATGGGGGCGGGGCGGGTGGGTTCCCGGGTCTAGGGGCCGGTGACCGCTGGCGTGCTCGTGTGTGGAATAAGGAAAACTGACGGAGTGATAGACTTGACGTGTGATTTAGAGAGCGAGGGAGACAGAGAGTGTGAGAAAGAAACAGAAATTAGAGGGTGAAAGTGAGGACGGCAGAGAACTGAGGGCCCCGTCCCACCGCTAAGCTTCGCAGGAAATCTGTTTAATGTGGAAGATCAGGGAGGAAGTATGCTCTCTCAATGTCTGGCAGCGGATGCATGCAGCGTAAAACAAATGATACGGCAGCTCCATGGCAGAGCACATGTGGCGACAGACTAAGAAGTTTTGGCTCGCTTGGAAGGGAAATGTAGAAAATCAGCCATTACTCGGCGTGTACTTTGTTCCTGGACTAAATGAACGTTTGTTTCTCAGAGATAAAAGGTCTCCACTGGCCGCTGCTTTAACAAAAACCAACAGTGTAAAAGACACAGACTGCTTTTATTTCTTGAGTGGGTGTACCCAGATATTAAATATTTTTATAGTTGAAAATAATAACAGCAAAGGAGCGAGAGTCCATGTTTAAATTGACTTGTAGTTCTGAACCATGCTGGTGAGAAAAAAATGGGTCTGAACATTTTCTGCACCTTTCACATGTGAAGAACATTCAGTCTGTGACATGTTAGAAACCAACACGCCCACTTGCTCGCTGTGAATTTTCAGGACATTTTCCCACTTGGATGTTTTCCGGATATTTTACAAGGGAATTCACTGGAAAATGTACGAAGCAACTGACGTTTGCGTTCTCACATACAGCCCCTCTGGGAAATTTCAGGGAAATCGTCCAGAGTTCAGTGCAAGTCTGAAAGTGGCTCATTATACAACTGGCTAGTGGGCTTATAGGTAGGTATATACACAGATCACACAAACGCTCAGTGATGCTGTGTAAACTGTTGTATTCAGGGCTACAATGATGCAAAATGACATGAATGACATCTAGTTTAATCAAAAGAGACCTAATTCTTTCAAATATTACAATATAACAGAACCTGTCGAGGAATTCTTGCTATTAAATATAAAGTCCTTTACTGCCTGGACTAATTGTAGCGTGAAGTTTGAGGACAGGAGTTGGAGGATGTAAAACCAGACGGTCTTGTGTTTGGATGTTTGTGTACTGTGAGTGGTTCATTGCAGCACGGTGAGGAGTACTCACACTTCCTGTAGTGCCCAGGGACAGATGGTTCATCTGCTGGGCGAGAGGACCCATCATGCTGGCAGGCTGCATGGACATAGTGTGGTCCATGGCTGGCGTGATCACTGCACCCTGGTGGAGAAGAAGGGGAGAAGGTGAGAGGAACGCAGGCGTGCACATTCATTTTCATTTAATTTTACACATTTCTTAATTCAAATTCTATATATTTGTGTGAATTTTTGTTTTATTTGTTTATTATGTTTTCGTCTTTGTTTGTTATTTGGCAGGATTACGGAAATTCTACTCCATGAAAGTTTGTGCAGGGGTGGTGCAGATCTGGATCAGGCATCAGGCGGTGCCATTCTAGTTTCTAGTGAAACTGTAACATATCATACCCCCGACATCCATGTAGGTCAGGCTAAAGTTAAACTAAGCCGAGTGACTGAAGAAGCTTCTTGGATGAGAGCTCAAACATTTTAACTCGTCGACAACAAAGTCCAGTTGCCCTCGAATCAACTTTTCTTGGACGGCCACAGCAAAGCAAACATAAGAGTCAGTCAACAAGCGAACTGACTTCACAAGTGACATGAAGTGTGTATAAGAGCATATAGACGAGAGATGAGGTGTAAGGGAAACCTGCTGTGGCGTTCGGGGTTAATGGAGGTGACGCAGGAAGCTGCTGGCTGAGAGAAAGTAAGCAGGGATAAAATCATCAAAGACAAGTATAAAATATAAAGAGGAAGATGGAGGTGTGGCTGAGACGAGGGTTGACATGAGGACAACACATGGACATTGTCAATAAACGGCAACAGCACACAGGATCAATGCTCGCTATTGTCTTTGGTCCGTCACAGCGATCAATATCTGCTGCTGATTATCAACTATATGAGTTTGTGAGGTTTATTGATTGTTGAACCAGGAAGCTCTCTCTCTCTCACACACAC